GAGCCCCCAGCACTTGCCACCATCCTGACTCATTACAGTGAATCTGTATTCTAAAAATTGACAGAAGTCAAATCTCAGGAAATAAACCGACCAGGTATTAAACTTAACCTAGAACCTAAGCTTTTCACCAAGTTGCATATAGACACCTCATGAAAGATATCAAAAGATGTCATTACTCCCATCAATATGAAACCATTATCAGTAATTTTTAAAGATACAGCTTCATGTTTATTATTTTAAGTTTTGTGACAAATATATGTTTTAATTAATTGAAAAAAAATCTGTTGAATGCACAAAAAAAGAATATTATCTCTTATTTTTAAAGTTTATGGAATTTTTCTTTGAGTGTTATTTTAGGATTAATTTTAACAAATGTCCAGAGGGACTATGAAAAGAGTTAGTCTCTACTTGCATACTATAGAATTCAAAATTTACAGTCCTGGTATACTTCTCAAATCCTCTACATAGTGTTGTTTATTTTTTGACCACTTGGTTTTCCACGGAAAATTGATGCTAAAAATTTCTATATGTTATGTTATGTTTCTTTTCACCTACATTTTTTTATTTTATCATATTATTTGATGCATTAAAACTCATAATTAACATTTAAAAAAAAATTAAAATGGGCAGAAGACATGAACAGACATTTCTCCAAAGAAGACATACAGATGGCCAATGGACACATGAAAAGATGCTCATCATCACTTATCATCAGAAAAATGCAAATCAAAACTATAATGAGATACCACCTCACACCCGTCAGAATGGCCAAAATCAACAACACAAGACAGAACAGATGTTGGCGAGGACATGGAGAAAGGGGAACCTTCTTGCACTGTTGGTGGGAATGCAAACTGGTACACCCATTCTGGAGAACAGTATGGAAGTTCCTCAGAAAGTTAAAAATAGAACTACCCTATGACCCAGTAATCGTACTACTGGGTATTTACCCAAAGAATACAAAAACACGAATTCAAAGGGACACATGCATTCCTATATTTATAGCAGCGTTATTTACAATAGCCAGGATATGGTAGTAGTCCAAGTGTGTGTCAATAGATGAATGGGTAAAGATGTGGTATATATCTACAACAGAATATTATTCATCCATAATAAAGGATGAAATACTGCCATTTGCAATGACATGGATAGAGCTAGAGCATAATGCTAAATGAACTAAGTCAGCCAGAGAAAGACAAATACCATATGATCTTAGTCACATGTGGAATATAAGAAACACACACACACACAAAAAAAAAATGAGCAAAGGGAAAAAAGGAAATGAGACAAATCCAGAAATAGACTTTTTTTTTTTTTTTAAGTAATCTCTATACCCAACATGGGGCTCAAATTCATGATCCTGATATTAGGAGTCATGCTCTACCAACTGAACCAGCCAGGTGCCCCTCAGACTCTTAACTATAGAGAACAAAGTGATGGTCACCAGAGGGAAGTGGGTGAGGGATGGGTGAAATAGGTGATGGGATTAAGGAGTGCACTTGTGGTGATGAGCACCAGTCATAAAACTTAAAAAAAAATGGCTAAGATGGCAAATTTTGTTATGTTAATTTTCCTACAAGTAAAAACAAAAAATAAAATAAATGACACAGACTCAAATATAGGACTAATTCTAAATCCCATACTCCTTCCACTATGAACTTATTGATAAACTACCTACCTTCATTCATTCAGCAAACATATGAGTGCCTGCTATGTGCCAGGCACAAGTAGCCGAGATGGATCAGTTAATGAAAGAAAGACACAGGTTGTCATGTAGCTTAAGTTCTAGCCAGTTTAACTCCTTATCTCATAAGGATGGCACTTGAATCATCCCTATATTCAAAGGAACTTTGCTAACTGTTTAGTATCGCTTCAATGTCAGTTTGTTCCTCTGAAAAGCTATGAAAAGAATTACTCGGGGCACCCGGATGACACAGTCAATTGAGTTTCCAACTTGGACTCAGGTTGTGATCTCATGGTTGGTGAGTTCGAGCCCTGCATTGGGCTTGCTGCTGTCAGCCTGTCAGCATGGAGCCTGCTTTGGATCCTCTGTCCTCCTCTCTCTCTGCCCTTCCCCTGCTCACACTCAGTCTCTCAAAAAATAAATAAAAAACATTAAAAAAAAATTTTTAATTACTCATCTATCTGAAGAGCCTCCTTCATTTTTCATGATCTCAGAGGCATCCTCAAACAACAATCTTACTTACTTTCTCATGAGTGGAATCCCCTAATATCTTTCCTGATAACTCTGCCAGAATCTCCAAATTAATAAGTCTCCATGTTCCATTATTCAGTAACCTAAAACTTTGTTTTTCTCTATTCACCACATTCCTATCATCATTTTTAAATGCTTATTTAAATACAGGCTAAGCCAGTAAACAGAATATGGAAAGCCCTCATATTTTAACTCAGGATTTCAAAATACTATTTAGCCTAGGTAAGTAAGATTACTTACTCATCTCATCATTTACTAAACCTTCAATTCAATAAGTAATAGCCTTCAGTTTTAGTTATACAGGTGTCCTCGGCACCTCCCCCCAAATTGAGAGGCCTAGAAATCCATTCTCAGTCTCTCCATGAGGTTGCTTAATTGCCATATTTGTGACTCAAACAGCCATTTTACTTGAAAACCTTAATTCAGAAAGATTCCCGGTGTATAATCCAAACCCACCAACAAAGACAAAGAATAAATTCCTATTTATTTTTTTAATGTCTGTTTATTTTTGAGAGAGAGAGAGAGAGAGAAAGCAGGGGAGAAGCAGAAAGAGAGGGAGACACAGAATCGGGAGCAGGCTCCAGGCTCTGAGCTGTAAGCACAGAGCCCAATGCAGGGCTCAAAACCATGAGATCATGACGTGAGCCGAAGTTAGACACTTAAGTGACTGAGCCACCCAGGCACCCCAATAGACTCCTATTTAAAAGAAATTTTAAAAGAAAAAACAGACTCTGAAGACAGATCTATTCTATTAAATTAGTATGAAGCATCTTTTTAAGAATTAAGCTGTCAAGTTTCCCTAAAAAGCAAGTCAGTTTAGCTTTCAAGTTACAAAAGCATCTTCAAATTACATTTAGTAGCCTACAAGATTTAACCATTTTTTTAACAGCGCTTTTCATATTCTTCTGTGGCTTCTCTAATTTCACAATTAGAGCTGAGGGTTTAAATACAAATGACAAAAGTCCCTTTGATGAAGAGTTCCAAACACTAACGGGAATGCAGAATCCTACAGTATGGCCAATCTCACTGAGAAGACACAGTAGCTCAAAAGTGAAAAGAACAAGGATGCTAATAGGATCTTCTTGAAGATCATTCGGATTATGTACATTCCAAGCCCCAACCAAACCTCAAGGACTATACTATAAAATGTCCCACAAATAGCAGTAACTAGAATTGTCAGCACTCATAGGAAACCACTTAGGAGCAAGATTCTTTTCAAATTGTGAAAAGCAGAAAACAAATGATCAGTTTGTCTTAAAAGAAAATGAGTGCCACAAACCTATGTAATCTATCATTGTTACAGATACATTCTCAGTATGTTTAAAGTATTACCCAGGATTACCGCTTACCATATCATAATTACTTTAACATGACATTAAATGTAATACATATTAATAGTTGCATGCTTTTTTATTAAGTAAATATTCAGCACTTAATTGGAGGGGGGGGGAAGAATACCACAACCCAAGTTTCACCAGAAAAATACTCTTACCATTCTCAATTTAAAATGCTTTACCTGATCGAAATGAAAACTTTGCAATAAGGGCTATAAGGCTCACTTCTTTTAAAAACCATCTTATTGGGGCGCCTGGGTGGCGCAGTCGGTTAAGCGTCCGACTTGAGCCAGGTCACGATCTCGCGGTCTGGGAGTTCGAGCCCCGCGTCAGGCTCTGGGCTGATGGCTCAGAGCCTGGAGCCTGTTTCCAACTCTGTGTCTCCCTCTCTCTCTGCCCCTCCCCCGTTCATGCTCTGTCTCTCTCTGTCCCAAAAATAAATAAATAAACGTTGAAAAAAAAAATTTAAAAAAAAAAAAACCATCTTATTTAAATGTTCATAGCATACGGTCACATAAAAAAAGCCACAAAACAATAAATATGAAAGGATTCCTTTTTTTAATGTATGTGACCATATACTTTAGTTATCTTCTGAAAATAGGACACTGCCCTTATTCAAGGTCCTTACAACATCTAACAGGAAACTCTGTTACTTCAACTTGAACAAAGAAGGATAAGCAACTACCCTAATGTTACTAAACAGCTTTTGGTCACAGAAGATCATTTTAGGGGCGTCTGGGTGGCTCAGTCGGTTAAGCCACCGACTCCAGATTTCTGCTGAGGTCACAGTCTCACAGCTTATGGCACTGAGCCCCCATCGGGCTCTGCACTGACAGCACGGAGTCTGCTTGGAATTCTCTCTCTTTCTCTCTCTCTGCTCATCCCCCACTCGTGTTCTCTCTCTCTCTCTCTCTCAGAATAAACTTAAAAAAAAAAAAAACTTAAAAAAAGATCATTTATATGTAGGACATATATGACATATATATGTATGTTGTAGGTATAATATGTATACTGTACACATGCATAGAATATATATACATACATACACGCACATATATATGCATAAAACATAGACTAATATATATGCACAGAAAAAGTATGAAAGATATAAATCCCAAATGAACAGCATTTATCTCTGGATGATACGAAATCTATCATTTAAATTTTTATTTTGCTATTTATCTATTCTAACTTGTCTACAACAAAAAAAAGGCTAAAATTTTTATTTTTATATCCCCCTGAACTGGTTTCAACAGCAGAAATCTTTCCTCATATGGTGTACTAGTTCCACTAAGGAAGACTAATTTTCAAACTCAATGCCATCTTCCTAAAGTCATCAACACTTCCAGCTACTCTGGTAAACTTGTTCTAAACAAAAGGATGTTAAACATGTGCTAATTTCATATACACCAACGTTTAGATACTGCAAATCAAATTCCTTGAAGACTAACCTTCATCATACATTTCTTCTATTAAATAGGCCTCTGCTCGATCTTTCAGGGCATTCACATTGTCAGGCTCCGTCTGTAAAACTTCAGAACACACTCGAATAGCTTCAACAGGCTTCTCATCCTATAAGTAAATGTGAGAAAAGGATTTATGGCTGTTTTGCCATATATTAAGTTTTCACACTTCTGCGAATGAATCAACTGTTACCTTAGAAAAGCAGTGGCAAATTCTTTCTTTTGAGCGAATCGTATATTCAGCAACACTCGGCTCTGTTTTCATGACAGACTCATATTTGCTGGTCGCATCTGTGTATCTATTAATGAGCAAATCATGATGAGTAACAATGAAATTCTATCTCAGGGGTTAAAGACAGAGCCCTCTACTCTTCACTAATCGTTGCTTAATCAATTCACCTAAATGAGTACGTGCCTTCAAACATGACTTTTACCTTACTATCAGTCAAAAGTTGGGAGATAAAACACATGACCACAGAAAATGTCTATGTACAAATCAAAGCATACCTGTGAATACCAATCAAACAAAATGATGAATTTCTTTACAGAATAATGCTCATGATTTTGAAACGGAGTAAAACATCTTCTTAAAGTCTGACTTACACATGGCATTTTTCAGCAAAATAGAGATCAGGTTTATTTCTTGGTCCCTACACACCTTCATGAAATAACAAAGCCCATTATCTACATGTCATTTTATACAATGAATGTCAATATTCACAACTAAGTACAATGTGGTTCCCTGCAAAAAGAACCTGCTTAAATTCCCAACTTACTAGCTTTCTGAGAACAATAAAAGCTATTTCAGCCTTTTTTTAAAAACTAGTGAAAAATATTAGCCATGTTATACACGAAGTTACTTTCCTCAGTAACGGCACACTAAACAATATATTTATATGCCACTGTGGCACATTTTTCCCAAAATGCATTACAATCTTCACATTTAAATGCTGATGTATTAAAACACAGATTTCAGCAGAACACTTAAAACAGAAGTTATTGATGTCAAAATCCTAGCTGGGATAGTGTTGTATAGTTTTCCAAGATAGTACAACAGTTGTAGGAAGCCGTACAGAGCATGCAAAACCTTGCTTTCCTTTTTACAACTACATTTGAAATGATGATTAGATCAAAACAAAAAGTTCAGTTAGAAAGTACTGAACTTCACTTGAAAAAAAAAGGTAGCTTCTGGGAAAGTGGAGTGAATGTACTTTCCCCAGTTCCCCCAACTAGGTACAATTAAATACCCCTACACATTATGTATTTGTCAACATATGAAAAAACTCAGCAAGGGGAGAGAAGGAGGCAGACCAGCCCAGGACATGCGGCCTGAGGGGGAAACACAATATGGGAAAGCTTCCCAGGTTTTTTTGTTTGCTTCATATACTGCAGACTTGGAGCTGAAGAGACCAGCAACCCAGAAATGCCAATGGGTGCAGACAAAAAATCCAAAACCCAGCAAGAACCTACTCTCTCAAGCCACAGGACCTGGAAAGGGCAGCCTGGCAAGACAGAAAATTTATGACAATAACAGCTCCACTCCAGCCAAACGCCACAGAAGAAAAAATAAGGCTCCCTCCCAATGCCAACAGGTCAAGTGGAGAGGCTATGACGAGGTGTGCCCACACCCCCACCATGGTGGTGTCAGAGAAGGCCAAGTGGGAAGCTAGGACTTTCATCCATGGCTGGAAGTAAATATCCCCCAACCTCCACCTGCTCTAAGCAGTAGTGAGAAACCCCACACCTCAGCTATCAACAAATGCCAACGGGGAAAACTTCTACCTCCCCGACAGCAACAAAGTGATACCCGCCCCTGCTTTGCTGGAACAATGTCTGAAAAAGCCAGGCAAAACAGATTTAAATTAAAAAACAGTCTTATAAAATGAAAGTGTCCAGGTTTCAATCAGAAACCACTCACCATACCAACAGACAGTAAGATCTCAAACTGAACGAGAAAAGACAATAAATTCCAAAACCAATTATCTGACAAAGATCTTAAAGTAGCCTTGGCAATAGCAGCAGTGACAAACATGCTTAAAGAAATGAAAGCAACAGACGGCCTTGGCAAAGAAACAGAAGAGATACAAGAATAACGTTTGGTTATCAGAACTGAAAACTAGAAAAACCCAAATAAAAAGTTCACTGAACGTGCTCAACAGTAGAATGGAGGGGACAGAGAAGAGAATCAGTGAATTGGAATGATAAAAAAAATTACGAAATCTGATCAGAAAGAAAAGGAATGGAGAAAAATGAACAGAGCCTCAGGGACCTGTGGGGCTGAAACAAAAGAGCTAACATTTATGTCAATCAGAATCTAAGACAAAAACTAGAGATAGAGGGTAAAGCTAAAAAAATATTTCAAGACATAAAGGCTAAGGGGCACCTGGGTGGCTCAGTCAGTTAAGTATCAAACTCTTGATTTCAGCTCAGGTCGTGAGCTCATGGTTCATTGGTTCGAGCCCCACATCCGGCTCTGCGCTAAAGACAGCTCGGAGCCCGGAGCCTGCTTCAGATCCTGTGTCTCCCTCTCTCTCTCTGCCCCTCCCCCGCTTGCACGCTGTCTCTCTCTCAAAAATAAATAAATATTTAAAATATAAGCAATCTTTAAAAAGAAGTAATGGCTGAAACTTCCCAAGTTTGACAAGACACAAACCTACATATTCTAGAAGCTAAATAAATTCCAGATAGGATAAAAACAAAGAAATCCACACCAAGATACACCATAATTAAACTTCTGAATACTAAAAACAAAGAAAACAGATTTTGAAAGCAGTCAGAGGAAAATATGTTATTTTAGGGAAAAACAATCAGAATGACCATGGGTTTCTCATCAGGAACCATGGAGGCCACAAAGAAGTGGTACAATATTTTTCAGGTGCTCTAACAAAAGGACTTAACTGAGAATCTTATACCACAAGAAAGTCTCTATATACTCTGTATACATCTCTATCACTCTAGATCCCACATTATCTTTTAACAATCAGTTTATATGTCCGTCTCCCACACTAATCTTTAAGCTTCTTAACACCAAAAACCATGTCATATTCATCTCTGCACCCCTTAGTACATTGTCAGTGCCTGACACAGGAGATACTCAATATATATTTGGTGAAATATAAATAAATCTGCTGGTAAGAATATTATGCAGTTACTATTACTTATATTCTGCCTTATTAAAAATAAGTACAGGGGCACCTGGGTGGCTCAGTCAGTTGAGCATCCAACGTAACGCACGCTTCGTGAGTTCGAGCCCCACGTCACGCTCTGTGTTGACAGCTCAGAGCCTGCAGCCTGCTACAGATTCTGTGTCCCCCCCTCTCTCTGTTCCTCCTCTACTCGCACGCTCTCTTTCTGTGTATCTCAAAAATAAATAAATATTTAAAAATAATAATTATTAAGTAGAGCTGCAGTAGTTTTGCCAAGGCCCAGGGCTATCTAGGATAGTCTATCCTCAATGGCTAATAAGTAAGAGAGCAAGCAGTTCAACTGTTCTTCTGTGCCCAGAAAAGACAGAGAAGGGAGGCTGTAGACTGCAGACAAGCACATTCTTACCTGCCGTCTCTGATGAGCTCTTCAGCTGACTCAATTAGCTTATTAAGTTTCTTTACTTGTTTATAGTGTGCAAAACACCTTTTATGATCCTGGTCCAGTTTAAGACATTCACGAACTTCACTGCTCATGTATTTAAAAACAGGAAAATACTCCAAGTCAAAATAATTAATGACTGGTTTTCCACAATACAGAAATCACATTAAAGGTATTTTTTGCTTGTAACGATTAAACAAAACACACTGACTTAACAACTGACCATATACTTTTACATGTGGCATTGTGCCACACACACGTATTAACTCAAATTATAATAACTTAAGTAGAATTATACATTAAACACCCTATTTTCTTTCTGCAAATATATCTCTATTTTAATAAGCATAGCTCATGAAAATAAACTATGTGGAAATAGAATAACTTAGGGAAAATACAAAATATACAAATAAAGAATATAAAAACAACCTTAACCACAGTTTTAATTTAAAATTAAAGTCTTTAAAAACGGGATTATCATCTTACTGCCAACAGTGAAAAGAGGATGAGGACGAGATGTGTATGTCACTAGAGCTGACCTGAGGGACAGTTCATGGTCTCCTAGTTGATAGTACAGTGTGCTGATTTTATAAAAAGCCTCAGTATTATCATTCTTCAACTTTGATGCAGCTTTTAAGTCACTTATCGCTTTCCTAGGTTCCCCCTCTTTTATGAAACATTCAGCTCGAAGTTCCCGTAGTTCTGCATCCCAAACACAAACCTTGAGAAACAAGAGAACTAGACTTTAAGAAGCAGTAAACTATGCACACTCATACTTCATCCCGCGTAGTTTGCTGACACACTTATCAACATGAAACCATCTTCAATTACTGTGATTTCTATATCGTAAAGCATTAAAAAGGCTGATACAATTCAGATGCGACAAAATAATTTCTCCAAGGATATCTTCAATTCTAATGGGGGAAGGGATGTATACGCTAACAAGGCCCCTTTCCTACTTCCTTCAATTATATAATTTTAAAACTCTGAAAATAAGAATACATGGCATTACTATTAGAAGGCTGCTCCCAGTGAAGCACATCTGATTTTGAAAAGAATATTCTTTAGTCAGGTTTTTGTACTTAATCAACAATTCTAATTTCTAGTTCCAAAACATAAAATCTAGGTTCTAAACCTGCAAAATACTTCTATTCTACTAATAACTAAATAGAACTCTCTTTTGTAAATGTTGTCTCCTTGAAATTAAATTCTCATACCACAAAAACAAAGAAAAGAGGAGAACAATGTGAGAAGGTGGAGGCTTCACCATTTCCACTTTGTCAAAATGTTTATAAATGCATGAGTTTTTTTTAAAAATGTAAACCCAAAAGGTCACCAATAGGGTCTGTGGAAGGATCTTTACACATTTCTTAGAGCTGTTCTAAGGTCATATCAACTTTTCACATATTTTAGATACCAAAATCAACACGTACATAAATTAAATATCTTGGCTAATCAAGTAGGTAAAAATGGTTATCTAAGTCCTGGAAGATAAAAATTATAACTTTATGTTTCCTTAACAAATCATAAACAAAATAATTTAATAAAACATGAATTCCACTCGACTGTATCACACAATTTCCTCTATAAAATTATCAAAGAAGCACCTACTCTACATACGTTAAGTTTCCTGCCATGATTAAATGCAATTGTACATCAAAGTGCCATGAAAATGATAAATAAACAAGAATTAGGATTGCTCCTACTTGAATATCTCAGTAGACTTCCTCCTGAAACCATCTGTCATTAAGTCCTTCAGAGGCAAGGAAACTATAGACTGAGCTCTTGTCTTGACTTCTGGGGCTTGTCAACATTCCATCTGCTTCTTCCCTATAGACTTGTCACTCTAAACCTTCTTCCCCTGAAACATTACTTTTCCTTTTTCTTCAACCAGTTCTTTCATCTTTCACCCCCTTTATCTAACTTCTAGAATTCTCTCCACCCCCCCAATGCAAAATCAAACAAAAACAGTAAACCAAGCAATGTATAAAAATGTGTAACTCCCATTCCACAGCACATCGAGTACATTTTCTGCAAACTCCAGTTCCAAATTTTGTTCTACATAAACACCATCTCTCACTTAAGAGCTAAAAGCCCAAGGACCAATGTGATCTTATCCTCTCTAGGTTGCTTGTGATACATAACATGTCAAAGTGCATGAATGTGCCTCAGAGTAAAACACAGCATGTGTCAGGCTTGCCAGCTGCAATGTCTAAGAAACTTACCTCTAAAATCTTATCAAGGAAGGTTATAGCAGCAGTATAATCTGAGCTTTCAAAAGCATCAAGCGCTTGTGAGCGCAAACGCTGCATTTCATCAGATTTCACAAGTTGAAACTGGGCTTCCTTTTCTTCATTTTCACTTGGATTAGATTTGAGCTATAAGAATGAGAAGAGAAATTAAGCAGGGTTTTTAATCTCTTAAATCTAATACCCATAGTACACACAACGATCTGACCGTCGTAAATACTTAAATTCATCAGGGGAACAAAGGGTAAGAGACGCTGGCAAAACTGGCTTGTGCAAGAACTTGAGAGCATGAGAGCACCTTTACCTCCATTTGTAAGGTACACAGGAGCGAGCTGTGAAATGACCTATGGTCCCCGCACCTTCCTAGGATGCAAACACACTTAGGACTGTGAAAGAGCAGAGATGAATGAAGTAAGGAGAGCACCCTCCTCACTCTTAGGTTAAGCTCTGCGGAGTAACGAGAGTTTCATGTAGTGGGCCTTCTAGTTCTATTTCCTAAATGTGTATTTTTAAGAATAAAATGATTTTACCAAAATAATGAAAAACATAGGGAAACTGAGGAGATGGCAGTATTTTTTAGAGGTTATAGAGCAAAGATTTGGCACCAGAGGGGCTAAGGTGTAATGAGCAAGGAAGAATTTATGGGGGAAAATGAGAGTAATACTTTATCACAAGGCTTCTAATGGAGTTTTAAGACATGTACACATTGTCTCTCTTTTTTAATAACTTTATAAAGGTATAATTTATACCATAAAATTCATGCATTTTAAGTATGCAATTCTGATTTTTAACAAATGTACCAAGTATGTGACCGCTACCACAGTTTTAGGCCATTTCGGTCAAACTTTTAAGATCCCTGGTGTCTGCTTACAGTTCATTCTTGCTCCCAGCCCAGCCTAGGCACAGGGACTCTGAACAATTTCTTCCTCCATATGGAAAATCTTAACCTTAATGGCTTAGAAAAATTGAGTGCCTACATTTAAAAGCTATTGACTTGGGTGAGGGGGGGACTTTTTTCATGGCAATTATAGTTTATATGTAATAACTTCTGAAATCTAATATTCTTACCAAGATGGGAATCATAGTTGATGGGTTCCAATTTGGGGTGAGGTAGTGCCAATGGGAGATTATTTCTAGAAATGTCTCTCCTTCGACTGACCAATAACACTGCTTCTCCTTTTAGTGGATTCATTTTTTTAAAAAAAAACACCCTACTAGCTACCTGGTAGGAGAGAACACTCCACACGAGAAACCTTGAGCATATTATTTCTTGGTAGAGGCTCTACATTTCTCCATTTGGTTTTCAGGATACTTAAGGTATTCTGTTTTGTCTGTTTAATCCTTAGCTTTGAAGGAATGGACAGGACTCTAAGTATTCATAGGTAACTAGGAACTCACAGCCTCAGCTTGCTCTGGCAAGGACTGTCCCTCCATGACTGAATTATCCAGCTGAAGGGAGCTGCTGAGAGGCCGTGGCATGTTTATCTATGACTGTTTCATCATCTTCGGGCTGGTCTTGAATACTTCTGCCAGACCACACTGGAAGGAGGAAAATGTGCAGGCACTATCACTTTGCTCTGGGTAAAAGTAGTTTATTGATAACTTGTTTCCTGTACGTATACTACCACTCCTTTTTGAATAGGATACATTAGAATGGATTAGAGATTGCCTCTTGTGTGGAATTTGCACCTTTTCTCTCGCAAACTTTACAGTCTAATCTCTACCACACAATTTTTCTTGCTGGAAGGTGAGAGCGGGTAAAGTCCTAAAGCCTGAGATTGAGGATGGAGCTCAGGCTCACTTGGTGCTCAGACAATGGGAATGGGAATGAGAAAGAGGGGGTGAGGTCAGGTCGTCTGGAGCTCTTTGAGGCTGGAGGGAACTAGGGGAGGGAGGAGATTCTTGCAAGGAGGGAAGAAAGGAGTCTGAGACTAAGGACTTACTTGTAACCCTGAGGACTTTCAAAGAGGGTTAAAGGAGATGAAAATTTTCACTCTTACCACAGGCCGGGCTCCTCCAAGATATTTACATGTAGGGATTGGACCCTGCTAGCATTTCCCTCTCCTTTTTTCACATTTCTTGATATCCCTTCTCTTTCTTTAGTGTTTCGTATTTCAGACCCTTTCAACCAAACCGCTACCTATGACAATATTCTATTTCTTATTTCTTACCGTTTACTGCGATCACTGAGCTTTTGGATATAAACCCGTAATAGCTATGGGATGGGGGGCTTATTAAAAGGGGTGAACTGCTCTCTAATCTAATCTAAATACACTCCCATTTCTGGGATTTCAAATGAAAACTACAGGTTGGTAGTGGTGGTGGGCAGACTTCTAAGATGGCCCCAAAAGACCCCCAGGCTCCTGGAATTCATACCTTTGTGTGATCCCCTCTCCTACTCCTTTTAAGAAACAGAATGTGACAAAGGTGACAGGACATCACTTCCTTAGTTAGGTACAAAACACTGTGACCTCCATCTTGCTAGCACTCACTCTCTTGCTGGCATCTCTTGCCTTCTCACCTGCTCACTCTGACAAGCAAGCTGCCTGCTGTGGGATGCTTTATGGGGAGACCCACAAAAGAAAGAACCAAGGGAAGCCTCTGGCTGACACTCAGAAAAAACAAAGGCCTCAACCAAACAGCTCAAGAGGAATTACATCCTGCCAACAACAAAGTGAATCTGGAAGTAGCTCCTTCACCAGCCAAATCTTCAGATAATACTGCAAGCCTATCTGACACCTTAACTGTAGCCTAGGAGAGACCCTGGGGCAGAGGACCCAGCTAAACCTGCCCAGATTCCTGACCCCATGAACTGTAAGATCACAAAGGTAGGAAGCTTTAAGCTGCTAACTTTGAGTAATTTGTTAAGCAGCAACAGAGAACTAATATAGTAGTTTTACCATTTTTCAATGGCCAGGTTGTGAATATTTCCAAACAGATTTTCTACCATTAATGTTTTAAAATAAAATCTAAATGGGGAAAAAAACAAACCCTCAGCCCAAACCTTGGCTTTATCACTTACTATCTGTGTATTATTTGCATTTTCTTCACCAATAAAAGGGGAATAATAATGCTTACACCCTGAGGAGCAGTCATTGAGAAATCAAAAGGACCACCACATAGCGAGTATTCCAAAAAATGCTAATAAAAATTCCAAGCTCCTTTTTTGAACTTTCTAGAATATATAAATTCATAATGAGGACAGGATGCAAGACATAATACACACTTTAAAAGGCCATTCAATTTATTTATCATTGCATTCCATACCAGCCAACTTGAACTGGATGCCTTTACAATTAAAGTCCCAGAATAATAAAACCTTAATTTGACTCAAGGTCAAAATAAAATTAGACTTTAGCATAAAATATATTCACCAAACTGCCTGTTGCTCAAGAAATTAATCTTCCAATTCTATTAAATTTAATTATGGTTTTAAGAGGTAAGTAGCACAAGTTTACATTTTTAATTTGTTACTATTTGATAACATGGAAAAATATGTAATATTTGAGGTATATTGCAATATTCTCTAGCAACTCCTAGAATTTGCCTTCACCAATTCTTTCCTAAGTCTTTAAGGGATCTATACAAAAGTAATACTAATTTGAATGTCAATAAAAAGCCCCAATTTTTGAAAAATAATTATATCCAAGCCAGGGAGTAGGTGATTGAGTTAAAGTATTCTAAGGCCCCTGTAATTTTCTGGAGGAAGCTAAAGATATTGATTACCTATAAACCTTAGTAAGCATGGATGTTGAAATTCGTGAAGTAATGACTAAGAGAAAAAGATATTCTTAAGGACTATCTTCACTGACACAAAAGAAACAGTTGGATAAATAGAATCTAAGAGAAATAGACACAAAAGATGTAAAGTTGCATTTCTTATACCAACCAAGCCAGCAAAAATACTACTGATACCAAGTGGTATTGAAGTTACGGGGCTCATAGAACCCCCCTAAACTGCTGGTGGGAATATAAATTGGAATAACCACTTAACGAGACAGTGCCAAACTGGCCAGCTTTAAAATGCCCATAACTTTCAAAGTAGCAATTATCCTCTTAGGTATATATCCTATAGTAGTGATTCTCAGTGTATGATCCAGGGACCCTTGGGAATCCTTAATACTCTTTCAGGGGTCTGTGGGGCCAAAACACATATGGATAAAAGACAAAGTACCCATTCAAAGTGCAGGCTAAACTAATGGATTTCATTATGACAGAGTACTACAAGTTCACTGGCAGGATTTCAGAGTCCACATTGCAACTAACCAATAACAACTACTGGAGTTTTGGTGTAACATCGAAGAGCATCCACAATTATATAAAAAGACTATTAAAACATTCTTCCTTTTCCAACTGCTTATATGTATAAACCACATTTTCTTCAATAGTACTTCAACCAAAATATAAATCAGATCTGGGAATCTGATGGTCTTCAAGTAAGCCACATATTAAAGAGATTTGTAAAAATGTAAAACTTACCTCATTAAACTTTTTGTTTTTGAAAATATAGTTAGGTTGCATGCAAAAAAAATGTATATTAACATAATGGGTTTGTTACTTTTAAATTAATAAGTATTTTTTAATTTCTAAAATTAACTTCTAATCCCGTAAATATTGCTAAACAAAAGGTCTCTGGAGGCCTCCATATTGACTAGTATAATGGGATCCTGAGAGGCATCCTAAGAACTGCTGCCCTAGAGGGACGCAGCACGTACAAGGAAAACGAGCAAGAACGTTCAATGAACCTGACAAAATATAAATTCAAATATTTGTGAAATTCATAAATAAAACCTACCAGAAATGAAACATGGAAATGTGAGGATAGGCTAATTTCTCACAATTATAACACAAGAGAAAAGGTATCTTCGAGATTCCAAAACTCTCTTGTTCCCTCATACAATTTTCATCAAACCAACACCCTTTTCATGTCCCATCTCCTCCTAGCCTCCCTAACTGTTCCATACTATGGTAGTAATCGCTTCTCTCTAAATGCCGAAATCACGTAAGAAACTCTTAACAAGGAAGTAACCTAAGAAATCATCTTGCCCAATCAACTCGCACTTTGTAAATGAAAATACTGAGTCTCACAGTATTGACAGGATAATGATAACTTGCCCAACATCACACAG